GGGAAAGAGGAAGCTAGAGGAGCAGAAAGGGGGCACAGTAGTTTTAATGCACCACCACTTTACACAGGAGGGAGAAGCAAATGGCACGCATACAGCCTTGCGTAAAAGTAGCCAGGATCCACAGCTAAGTCTACCAGGCATATGTACTTCTATGATATCTACAGCTGGAACTTTGCCATGGGCACAGTCAGGGCTATTTTTGGGCAGGAACGCACAGGAATGGAGTTCCGGCTGGCTCCCAAGTTGGCCACGCCCAGCAGGAAATTAGCATAATAGGCCACACCCAACAGCAGGAACTCATTCGGATTGGCTACATTCGGGGTGTGTGGCCTAACATGCAAAGGAGTTCCTGCTACAAAAAAAGGCCCTGGGTTTTGACAACAAACAAGGTAAACAGAATAACAAGCAAAAGGTGGGTGTGGCTGGATAACCACACTTCTGGTAACATGTGGGTGCGGCCTAATGTGCTAATGAGCTGTGCTGTCAGGGGTGTGGCCCAATATGCTAATTAGTTCCTGCTGTTGGGTCTGACCTATTATGCTAATGAGTTCCTGCTGGGCTTTTTCTACCAAAAGAGCCCTGGGCACAGTAACTTTTTTCCCCCCTACAGACGCACACAAAATGTTTTCCATGCCGTTTGTTTTAACGAAATATTCTGAGGCAATCCAAAGTTCCTGAAGACAACTAACACCTACTTGTATGTGGTTTTGGTATCAAACCAAGCAGGATTTTGAGCTGTCGGACACAGTTTTAGAAAGGATTGCCAGCACTGTAGAGTTTTTGTATTCCTGATCAGCTGAGATTTTTATTTGCTTGTAATCTCTTGCATAACTTAGTTAATTGAGTGTTCCTTTAATGACATGAGCCGGGAAGGAAGGAGAAAATAAAAAGGATTCCCTTGGGAATCCTGAGAGATGTAGTGCGCAAGGGTACTGAACAGTCTATGCTAGTGGGGAGGGGAATGACTATGAAACTACATTGTGTGTGTGTGCGTGTGCGTGTGTGTGTGTGTGTGTGTGTGTGTGTGAGAGAGAGAGAGAGAGAGAGAGAGAGAGAGAGAGAGAGAGAGAGAGAGAACACAAATGCTTGTGCCTACAGCCAACTTGCTAACATATGTCAAGTGTCTGAGATTCTTGTTCTGTCGTCTCTAATACTTGTCTCCTACAGTTGAACACGATGTACCGATGTGTCAGGCATCTCTGATGCTCTCCCACCCCCACCCCCCCTTTCATGTTCAAAGCATGAGTAGGGGAAAGTGGCACTTGACAGTCGTATAGAATGGCAGAAATCCAGAGTCAGGAAAATGGGTTGGCTTGACCAGGACGCATGCCTTCAGCTCAACCTGTACAAGGATGCAAAATGACTGTGAAATATAATGTCATATAATGTAAAAATATTCATTAAAATACGCGAGGCCAGCTTTTCGGTATGGGATAACTCAACTGCTTGGTCAAAGGCTTAGTAGGGGTAACGGACCAGGCACACTTTTCATTGGTCCTGTGCCGCTGCAGCGTAACACAGTAAAGCACATGCAGCTACTAAACAGTGCTGGCAGGATAGGGGAACAGTAGGCATTACACAGCAGTAACAACCAAATCTGTTGCCCAATGAGAAAAAACAACAAGAGCCGTCCACCTGAGCAGCGAGAACTCAGAACTTCAAGAACAGTCCCTTGCAGGTTTGAAGCAGAAGCCAGCTGTGGACCGCTCCGATTGGCTGGGCCCCTACAATGTCACCCCAAACCCCCAAAACTTCTCCATCCCAGCCCTGGAGAAAGTTTTGCCATTTTAAAAGAAGTCTCCCTTCAAAGAGAAAACAAACTGGCTGCTCCACCCCTCAATCTCCCTCTTTGAGATGCCATAAACTCCCCGAGCTTGATCAGGCTCATTTCCCCTCCCTTTAGTTAATTCTCAACTGCTCAAACACTCCCATGTCAGTAGTGTATATTCAGTACTCCTCAGGCCAATGGCTTTCGGTTATTTATTTTTGTTTTGCATATCTTAGGAATCCCATATATTGAGAAACCCCTGCCGCGACTGTGGGTGACCAGGTTTTCTGCTTTCCTGACTGGCAGGTGGAAGGGGAGCCATTTCACCATTAACTAACAACAATGGATTATGCCTGTGCTTTCATATAGAACTGTGGCTAGCCTGCCAGAAGCAGGAGACTGATAGCTGTGCCGGTGTGTCTGATATCTTCGAACGACGATCTCTCATTTCGGTTCTAAAGCCAATCTGCCCCTGCAGCTGAGAAAATGTGCTGTGTGCTCCTCTTTATCTACAGGAGAGCCAGGATGGCGATTAGCATGGGGAGATCCAGGTACAAATCCTTACTCTGGCACGAAGCACACTGAATAGCCAGAGGCAGGGGCCGTTTCGTAGAAAAAGAGCTAGGGGGACTCATTAGCATAACTCATTAGCATATGCCACACCCCCTGACATCACCGGAAGTGTGTCATAAGGCCACACCCCCTGACATCACCGGAAGTGTGCCATAAGGCCACACACCCCGCCCCCAACGGTACCGGCCGCCACCGCCGGCCTTGCAGCTCCACTGCCGAGCCCCATGAGGGGCCCAGCGGTGGACCTGCAAGGCCAGCGGGAGTGCAAGGAAGCCCCGCAAAGGCCCTCCCTGGCCCCAGGCAGGCAGGGGTGGGGAGAGGCAGGGAGGAAGCAACTTACCCTCCCTCTTCTCCTGCCTCCTCCTGGCTGAATGAGGGCCGGAAGCGGGGTGGCCGGAAGCAGGGGGTGGGGCTTCGTCATGTGCCCCGCCCCCTGCACCTCACCCGGGGGGACTGTGATCCCCCGCGATCCCCCCCAAAATGACCTCTGGCCAGAGGGCCAACCACACTTCCTTACACAGTAATCATAGGGTTGACAGCTGTGGTTTGGGAAATGGCTGGAGATTTGGGGGTGGAGCCCGAGAAGGCAGGGTTTGGGGAGGGGGGGGGGGACTTCAGCCAGCACAGAGCCCTCCCACCAAAGTCACCTGTTTCTCCAGGGGAACTGATCTCTGTCACCTGGAAATCAATTGTAATTCTGGGAGACCTCCAGGGCCCTGCTGAGTCACAGAATAAATCAGGGCGGGGGGGGGATACACTGCTCTCAGCTCCTTGGCAGACAGGTGGGATAAAAATATGACAGATCTGTCTTCAACCTTAACGTTTTCTCAAGAATTCCTACTCAGCCAGATGGGAGGCAGGCCTTCATGGGAGCAACACGCTACGGCCGTACAACTCCGTGTGCTCTGGAGCTCAGTTTGAGAACTTCTTCCCTAGTCATTCTCTCTGTACGGCAACCGTAACAGACTCCCTGAATCTACGAGTCAAAACTACAAGTACACGATCGGCTCTAGACTCCCAGCTTCCTAACTGATGCGCCGACTTTCCCAGAGGCGTGGAGGCAAGAACACGCCCACAACTGTCCCCCCCCCCCAGGCAAAATACAAGATTGCAGAGCACACACCCTTCGGGAGGAGACCAGGGCAATGGGGCTTCTCCCCGAGCTTGACTCAGACTGAAACTAGGCTGAAATGCTTCGTGAGCGTTCCCATTCAGGCAAGGCCCTTCCAGCTTGCCTGCAACTCCTGGTCTCTTCTATTCCCCTCCACGATTCGTTTCTTATCCACCTTTCAGGTTCAGCAGAGCTGGGTGGTGGCAGGGGAGGGAGAGGCTCGCTCTCTGGTTGAAGCAAAGCGCAGGTGCCTGGAGGGAGCTGTGATGTCATTCCCTCAGAACGAAGCAAAATCCTCTTCCCTTAACAGCCCCTGGACCCTCCTCCTTGCGCTCCAAGCCTGTGCAATGTGGGTCCCCTCAAAGCTGCTACAAAATGAAGAGTTTCCGTTCAACTCAAATTCAAACGTGCGCCCCGCTTTCTTCACTCACTCACTCTTCCCAACCCATTCCTCTCCTTCAAACAGAAGCATCATCCTCAGATATTAAAACTCCACTCGGAAACCCCGCATTCCAAGAGCAGAGGCACTGGGGCTCAAGTTCACCTGGGCACTGGGGTTGCCAGCTCCGTGTTGGGAAATACCTGGAGATTTTGGGGGTGGAGCCTGAGGAGGGCGGGGTTTGGGGAGGGGAGAGACCTCAACTGGGCATAATGCCATAGAGTCCACCTTCCAGAGCGGCTATTTTCTCCAGGTGAACTGACCTCGGTCACCTGGAAATCAGTTGTAATCCCTGGAGATCTCCAGCCACCACCTGGAGGTTGGCAACCCTAACTGGCTGCCCCACTCTTGCTTTATTTCTAGATATGCTGGCTGTGGAAGAAAAGGTACTCTGGCCCTCCTCTGAGGCCCACTCATCCCCCCGACTACTACACCTATTCCGAGGCTGAACTTTGGCATCAACGACACGTTTCATGGTTAAGACCAAGCCCGGAAAGGAACAGTATCAATGGGCTGTCTTGTATTCTGATGTTTGGAAGCCTCGCACAGCTTGGAAGGAAAGGGAGGCACACAGCCTGCAAACACAGACACTTTGTTGACTCCCAGATGCTGAGAATAGAACTGGAGGCACATGCCCTCCGTCCTCACCAATTACAGGGGATGCTGGGAGAACTTAAAATTGAAGGGCAGGGCAGGGGAATAAAGAAAGGTTAAGACGAGGAGGTGGAGAACTGGACCTCCTGTACAAGGGGGGGGGGAGAGAATGTCCTGGGGAAAGGAATGGCAACTGTATGACCTCACTGTCTACTTTTAAGCTGGCCTAGCCAAAGACATTCGGTGCAAATCAGAATGATAACCCTCTAACAAAAATCTCATGACCCACCTTTGGCACAACTCTGTAGTCCCCAATTCCACTGGGAACTAGGCCTAAACATGTGTAACTGAGATGAATGCACAGTCTTAGGCCGCTTCCACCTCCCTCCCCTTCCTCTGTCGCCTCCCTTGTGTTCAATTTTTAGATCGTAAGCACCTGAATGGGAGGGACCTGCTCTCTTCCACTCAGTAAAGTGCTATACATAATACATATTGATGGTGCAATAAAAATAACGATGCACATTCCAAGCTATTTATACGTCTTGCTGCCTCTCCCTGTCTCTCGCCATATGTCCCCACACGCCAACTTGAAGAATTCTGCTTGCCACCTTCTAGTTGTTCCCCAATTAAGACTTGGCATCTTCTACAGCCTGTCCCCTCTCTACAGCTGTTCCCAGTTTGTGGCACGGCCTCCCCAGGAGGTGAGACGAGTGACGTCTAGCTAGATGTTTTTAGGAGGTGCTGCATGGCCATTTTATTTGCCTGGGCTTTTAACGGGGTTTAAGCTACAAGCCTTTTCCTGGAGCAGGTGCCTAATGGAGCGCTGTTGTATTTTGTAAGCTTTTAGTCTCGGAATTGTAAGCCATCTCAAGCCACAAGGGGAAGGCAGGGCACAAGTATTTCAGACAGTAAATGAACAGCCTTTACAACTCTGTAAAATTGGCTAGTGTTATCATCTCCCTCTTGCAGATGGGGGAGTGGAAAGGAAGCGATTGTGGCTTTCCTAATAATAAATTCCTGGCAGAGGCAAAAATTGACTGGCAGATTTCCTGATTCGCTGCTCATTCTCTTAATCACCAGGATGTTCATCCCGTAGCTGCTAAAATACTTTAAAGCTCCGTCTCTTAATGCCTCAGTCTGGAAGTTCTTTGCTTGAATCCTGCATACGAAGCAAGTTTAGGGAGACCATAATGTCTCAGACGCACCTCCTCACTACAGATGTAGGGGGAAGCTCATACTAGCCTACTTCGGACTGTTATTGTAAAGCTATGATCCATATACTGGCCTTTTTTCCAACCAGCCAATAGCAGCTTGAGGAGAGGTCATTAACGCCACACACACACCCAGCTTCATAGCACACATGCCGTCCCGTCTTTATCTGCTGTTTGGATGGTAGAAAGTGCTACCCAGTCGCAGCCAACGTACAGCAGCCCTGTAGGGTTTTCAAAAGATTAACAGAGGCGGTTTGCCATTGCCCGCCCCTGCACATCAACAGTGGACTTCCTTAGTCTCCCACCCATGTACTAACCAGGGCCAATCCAATTTAGTTTCTGAGATGTGACCAGGTCTGCCCAGCCCAGCCCAGGTCTTTAAGCCTTCAAGAAAACATCAGACGTTCTGATGAAGAACCTCACAACAAGTAACATACAGTTTCACTTTCAGACATTCTTCCCCTGCAATGGAGGTGGCTCGAGGAAGATAACGAAAGGGAGCACAGCAGACGTGCGGGGGCGGGGAAAGTAAAGCATACGTGAAGACTGCATTAAAAATTACAGCGTCTGCTTTGCTTTGTGTTCCCCCTCCTCCCCACCCACCCCCACTAAGAGTTGACTCACTGCTGTTAATTGCTCTGCAGCCTGATTTGGCATCAAGGAGGGAATGAACAGTGAAAGCCACCCCCCACCCCCACCCCCGGGAACAGTGAAATGCCAACATGACAGGGAGAATGTACCCGACAAGAGATAGCTTGGCTGCACCCAGATAGCGTGCCCTCCCCAGAGACTGACTCTGCAGGAAACACCTCCAAGGGACTCGGTGGCCAAACAAGTCACCAGATCCTGCCACACCATCCTGCAGTGGACGGATTCCAAAGCCCCACACAGACACACACACCACTGTCCTCATGTGCAGAGTTTGGAGGCTGACAGGATGTTGGGTGTTACAAGTTAAAACACTTCAGTATTTACAGGGTTAATGATGTTTGTTAAGTCACATGTTTGTTTGTAACCAATCTGTTTAGACAATAGGATGCCCGGGAACTTTGGAGCTAATTTGCTACTCCGATTGGAAACCAAAGTGTCAAGTATTAGCATTTTATGGCTTCTCTTCCCGTCTTTTTGTGTTCTTTGTTCTGACTAGAGAAGGGGACGCCATTTCGGTTTCTTCCCGTTTTACCTTTTAGCTGCAAGGATGTAGACATCTTAGCTCTTTGTTATTTTATATCCTGTGTACCTTTTTCCCATGTTCGGTTTATAGTAAACTTTTATATTTTAATACACATCATGGACTCAGTCTCTTAATACTCTGCTGACTAACTTATAAAAAGAATCCCAACAGAGGAGCAGACCGGAACACTGGCCACACCTCTCCCAACCTTCTCCCATGTGTCTGATGAAGGCAGCTTCAAGTCTTGAAAGCTTACACCTCTCAAAATTTTGTTGGTCTCTAAGGTGGGACTGGCCTCCAATCTATCTGTCCTATTACAGACCGACAGGGCCACCCCCTGAAACTTTCCCCCACGTGTAACCAGCAGACTAGACTTCCCCTTGCATCTCAAACTCCAATGCTCATCTTCTATGCGCTCCTCCATATCCTTGTGCATTTGCAATGCAAGAGGTACAGGACAGATGAAAGAAAATAATTATTTATTCGATGAGCAACTAAATTGTGGGATTCACTGCCAGTGGAGGTAGCATAGATGGCTTTAAAAGGGGTTAGACAGATTCATGGATACTAGGCTTGGTGACTAAAGGGAATTTCCACATTCGGAGGGAGTAGACCTCTGATACCCAGTGGTGGGAGGCAAGATCAGGAGAAGTTGGGGAAGGGATGCTCAACTAGATGAACCACTGGTCTGATCCAGCAGGGTTCATCTGTTCTGATGGAAAGCCACCACAGGTTCACATCACTCATTGACAAAAAAAAACACCCAACATGGAAAGTGCTCTTGGGTGGGTATTCATATGAAATGTGCATTGTCATGCAAAACGGCTGCACACATGTACATATTTCCCCACGCACACACCCATTTACAAAAGAAAGATACAATGATGTAATGCAACGCATGAAGCAGCCTTTAGAACAGCGGTTCTCATCCTGTGGGTTGCGACCCCTTTGGGGGTCGAACGACCCTTTCACAGGGGTCGCCTAAGACCATCGGAAAACACAAATTTTCAATGGTTTTATGATAGCAATGAAAATAATTTTATGGTTGGGGGTCACCACAACATGAGGAACTGTATTAAAGGGTCGCGGCATTAGGAAGGTTGAGAACCACTGCTTTAGAAGCTTAAGACTGTGACATAACTCCTTATGTGCCCTTTCCTCACCACCATAAGGGGCCCAACTGAAAACAAACAGGCTTCTCTTGGGGTGTGGTGGGGGGGGGAAGGCTGCCTCGCTTTAACTGTCCTTCTGCTGCCAGTCACAAACAGTCTGTATCCTCTTTACTCTACTGACCCTGAGAACACTTCTGTTGCAGATTCCAAAGGAAGCGGAAAGCGCCACAGTGTGGGACCACCAGGCCTCCACCTACTTTACGCTTCCGAAATCACAAGACGGAAGTTCAGCTTCTCGTGACAAATCTCAACCTGTGGCATTGTTTAAAAGCAACTTTTCTAGCCATTCTGGAGGCAAACCTGAAAATACGAAGGGCGAGAGAGACGCCTGTGGAATTTCACACACCTGAGCCAGCCTAGTACGTGTGTGTGTGTGTTTGTGTGTATGTGTGTTGGGGGGACATTTTATTTCAATGAATCAGTACTTTGCAAGAATCTTTCCCTGATCGACAGAAGAACAGGGTAATTCTTCAGATTGCTTAACAGCCTTATTTAAGCAGCTTGCAGAATCCTCCTGATTTCCTGGTACCCCAGCAGAAAGATTCCCACTCCCTTCCCCCCTTCGAAGAGGGTAAAGTACGGACAGCACCTCACATTGTACGGTGCCCGATGCTTCCACAGAGCCTTGTTAGTCCCCTGCTTGGGGGCCCATCTAGCTAGGCGAAGAAGAGGAACACAGTGTATGTGGGTGGGGGGGCGACACAAGTCCGCCCGTTCTCACCTGATGACGGGGCCCAGTAAGAGGAGATGCATGCACAAGACCATGGGTTTGTCGCTGGTCAGGTCTCGGTGGACAAAGATGAGGGTGAGCTGGTCCATGATGGAGGGCATCAGCATGAAGAGGAGGGTGAGGAGGAGCCAGAACTGGTCGCTGTTGCGGCTGTACGAGGCGGTCAGGACTGCCGCCGACGCAAACTCCCCGCAGTACAAGAGGGTGGTGAGGATGATGCTGTAGGGCAGCTTCAGCTGGGAGAAAACCTTGGGTTCGACTTGGAGCACTATGCTGGGCGGTGGGAGTTTCGCCTTCTTGCCAGAGGGCAGACCGGAGCATTCCCCGATGGAACTTTCGCACACGGCATCCATCCTGAGGTCCAGCAACCTTCCAGCGCCAGGAGGCTCTTCTCTGAAGGAGACTTCAGATCCTAAGAGCAGGGGGGCTTAGCCGGGCCACATCCCAGGGTTCCGCTTTCTGTTACTAGCTGCTCTCTCCAGAAAATCCCAGTTGCTTCCTTTTTCAGGTCCCAGCCTACAAACCCCCATCCACAGCACTAGCAAAACAGCAAGCACCATAGGAAAGCACGGAGCATCCCCCCCCCCCCCCCACCCTTGGTGACTTGGCCAGTCCCTAGAGGGGAGAAGAGGCAGGATGCTCCCTTGCTAGTTCCGGGGAGTTCCCATAGGGACCAGGGTGTGGCTTTCAGTTGTTGCTCTCCACAGGTCAACGAAAGGGACTGCAGTTCTGACTCCCCACCCCACCCCACTCAAGTCAAAGATGGATCCGGAACAGAGACCCAAAACAGAGCAGAGGCGATCCAGGAGGAACCAGAAAAAGCCACCACGAAGCAAAAGAGTTCCAGAGGGAGGAGGGCGGGCTCGACCCGACGACTCCGCCCGTGGAGCCTCTAGGGTCGTTTCTCCAGCCCAGACCCTCCAGCCTCCCGACCACCCCCCTGCAGGGCGCGCCGGAGCCGGGCTTTCCTAGGAGAGCGCCAGTCCCTCCGTAAGCCACGTGGGCCTTCTAGCAGAACCCAGCCGGCTTTCACCTTCCTCCCGGGCTCTTTACGGCCAGCGCCCTGTCGAGCCCCGCTAGGGGAGGCGTCTCCTCTTCCGA